GTGCGCGTGCGTGCGTGTGTGCGTGCGTGCGCGTGTGCGTGTGTACGTGTGTGCGTGTGTGCGCGCGTGCGTGTGTGCGTGTGTGCGCGGGCGCGTGTGTGCGCGTGAGTGCGTGAGTGCGTGAGTGCGTGAGTGCGTGTGTGCGTGAGTGCGTGTGTGCGTGAGTGCGTGCGCGCGTGTGCGCGCGCGCGCGCGCGTGTGTGCGTGTGTGCGTGTGCGCGCGCGTGTGCGCATGTGTGCGCGTGTGTGCGCGTGTGTGCGTGTGTGCGCGCGTGTGTGCGCGTGTGTGCACGCGTGGTGGATAGAAGCTTGGTTCCATCCCGGCTTTGCAAGCGAAGAGGAACGCTGAGGCTGCAAGCGATTAAAGTCCAAGAAACATGTTGACAATTACGGCTTGCTTCAAAACACTCAGTCAGGCGGCTGCCACCACGAGCTTCACGCAGCGAAGTGGCTCAACCTGTCCTTGGATCAGGCTTCGCTGTGTCTCTGTGTCTCTGTGTCTCTGTGTCTCTGTGTCATTCTGTGTCTCTGTGTCATTCTGTCTCTCTCTGTGTCATTCTGTCTCTGTGTCATTCTGTCTCTCTGTGTCTCTCTGTCTCTCTGTGTCTCTCTGTCTCTCTGTGTCTCTCTGTCTCTCTGTGTGTCGCTGTCTCTCTGTGTCTCTGTGTCTCTCTGTCTCTCTCTGTCTCTCTGTCTCTCTGCGTCTCTCTGTCTCTCTCCGTCTCTCTCTCTGTCTCTCTCCGTCTCTCTGTGTCTCTCTGTGTCTCTCTGTGTCTCTCTGTGTCTCCCTGTGTCTCTCTGTCTCTCTCTGTCTCTCTCTGTCTCTCTCCGTCTCTCTGTGTCTCTCTGTGTCTCTCTGTGTCTCTCTGTGTCTCTCTGTCTCTCTCTGTGTCTCTCTGTGTCTCTCTGTGTCTCTCTGTCTCTCTGTCTCTCTGGCTCTCTGTCTCTCTGTCTCTCTGTCTCTCTGTCTCTCTGTCTCTCTGTCTCTCTGTCTCTCTGTCTCTCTGTCTCTCTGTCTCTGTCTCTGTTTCTGTCTCTGCGTGCGCTGTCTGTGTGTGTGTGGCCACTCCCGAACTGCACGAGGGAGAATTGTTGCGTCTTGCAGGGGAGTGCGGCATGACTGTGGGACCGCGCTCAACGAAGCTACCGCAGTCATGGGATACCGAGTCTGATCAACTCGGCGTACCTGCGCAGTGATATGTTACATCATGTATTATCTTCGCTGTATCTTGCTGGAACAATCGCTGTTGTCCGCTAACATCCTCTAGTATCAGCCCCTTGGTCTGCATCTTAAGTAACTTGGATTTGACGAAGACGCCGGCGATCTCAACATCGAACAACCAAAGAACACTCCAGTGTGCGGACGCATGTCCAATAGGCGGAGGGCCCAGTGGTGCACCGTCTTGATCCCTTCGGGGCAATGGAGGAAATAGATGAGGTTTACCTCCCGGTCGGCACTTACGTGCAAAGAAGTTAAGATGATCGGCGAAAGCCAAAGCAGCCCCCGGGCAAAGTACGCTGGTCACAAAGTACCCAAATGTCCCCTGGATCTCTCGTTGTCGTTTCCCTTTCTTGTGTCTGTCCCGTGTGTTTTGTTCTTCGGGTTTCTCTCTTCCTTTCCGTTTCCTTTGCTGATTCCTCCTTCTTCGTTCTCTCACCTTCAGGTACCGGGACGGGAGGACGGGCAAGTTGCCACCAATTTGGGGTTTTTCCCTCGGTTAGGCTTCCGGGCCGACAGTATCTCGAGACAATGCGGTCATCCTCCTCGCCGCGAAGAAGCCTCGGTGCCTTGGTTTGTGCCGTGGTGACTTTCCTCGAGCCGAAGCACGGCGTGAGCAGTAGACATATCTCGGCGAATTAGGCACGAGCCTCTGGGCCTTGGTAAAGCTCCCCCGGGACTCGCTTGAGCACACATTCCCTGCGTGCAGCTGACATAGCCTTTGTGTGAGTTTCAGCAAATTGGATTTGAGCCTCGGTGCCTTGGTTTGAGTTTGATGACTGTCTACGCATGACACTTGCAGCAGATTTAGCCTTGTGTGAGCCTCGGCGAAGTAGCTATGAGTATCGGTGTCTTGGTTCGTGCTGCTTCCTATTTGCATTATCCGCCGCACTGCGGCGGTGTGTGTGTGGCCACTCCCGAACTGCACGAGGGAGAATTGCTGCGTCTTGCAGGGGAGTGCGGCATGACTGTGGGACCGCGCTCAACGAAGCTACCGCAGTCATGGGATACCGAGTCTGATCAACTCGGCGTACCTGCGCAGTGATATGTTACATCATGTATTATCTTCGCTGTATCTTGCTGGAACAATCGCTGTTGTCCGCTAACATCCTCTAGTATCAGCCCCTTGGTCTGCATCTTAAGTAACTTGGATTTGACGAAGACGCCGGCGATCTCAACATCGAACAACCAAAGAACACTCCAGTGTGTGTCTGTCTGTCTTTCTGTCGGCCGGTCGGTCTGTCGGTCTGTCTGTCTGTCTGGGTGTGTGGGTGTGTGGGTGTGTGGCTGTGTGGGTGTGTGGGTGTGTGGGCGTGTGGGTGTGTGGCCGTGTGGGCGTGCGGGTGCGCGGGCGGGCGGTGCTGCTGAAGAAAAGCTGCCTTAAAGCTCAACAACCCCACACCGAGGGCAAAAACCACGCAAACAATACCGACAACACTCGGTCAATTGCGACCAAGATTCGGGCTCCTCCGCCAAAACTAGTTCTGCCGCCGCAATTGCGGCGGCAAACTGTGGCTGTGGCTGTGGTTGTGGTTGTTTGAAGCGGAGGGTGGCGATGGTTGCCATGGGCGCAGAAAGAAGCTTCGTTTGGGAATGGTCCTGCCACCCCGACTCCCAAAGCTGCAAGTGCCAAGGTCAGCAGCTTCATGGCGACAAGTTGGGGGACCAGGTTGGCAATCGCAAGAGCCGAAGCTTTGAACTTTAGAAACACGCAAGAAAATGCCCATCGCTTGGCGTTGCCGGCCCTGCTGTTGCATTCATACTGCACGCTGCGGAGCACTTTTTGCCACTTACGGTACCTGGTATCCCACATGCCACCTATGGCATGCCTGAGCTCTCCAGAACGGCCATGTGGCAGTGAAAGGAGGAACGCACTCTGCACACTCTGCCCTCTCTGCCCTCTGGAGCGAGGGCCGCAACTTGCATTACTACTTCAGGACCTGTGCAACATGTACTTTTAAAGTGACTTAAGTGATGCCTCAGAAGCCCCTAGGGAAAGATCCTTTGCTTCGCAAAGACTGTCCTTAGTTTCACAGGCAGCTGCACCATCGCAAAGCGCAATGCACCACCAAGTGCTCAACAACCAAGTGTTCACGTCTGTGCAAACGTCGCTGTCCAAGGCTCCAAAGCTAGAGAGATTCAAGGCCAAAAAACCATGGAGCTCTGCACACTGCAGCTCTCCACAGCTCTCCACAATGCGCACACCTGGCTGTGAACCAGGCGCGCTCTCGTTATCCTCTGCGCCATCATCTCCATAGGAGAAAAATGGCCGACTCAATGGTGCCTCATCAGCCTTAAGCTGCCTTAGCTGCCTTAGCTGCGCGCTGCGAGAAGCTCCTGCAGTTGCTACGCTCGTCAAAGTCTACTACGGAGACTTGGGCAGCCCAGCTTCTTTTTTTGTTTCAGAACACTTCTTCATGCACGTGGAGATCAGGATCTTCGCGGTTCTCTTCCAGCGTCGTGCTGTCGGTGTGATTGGCATCACCAGACTCCTTCAAGTCTTCTGGCTCTCCGTCACCTGCACTCAGTTGAGTTCAGAAACAAGATGGTTGGGCTCCGCATGGAACAAAGACACACACTTCGGCAAGCTGTGAATAAAGCAAGGTCTTTTTTGTGAACTTGGACTGCAACCTTCTTTGGCCGAGAGCTTGGAGGACACGGACTTCAGCGCACCACTCTGCAGGCGCCAAGCTACCTGCTCATCGTCCGCTTTCTCTGCGGAGCTCTCTTTCAATTCTAGGGCTTCCGGGGCTTCTAATTAGGGCTTCTATAGAGCTTCTAGGACCCTTGGAGCAGTGGGAGCAATGCAACTGACCGTTCTTCGCGCACAGCCTGCTTGGCCCGGAGTTCCAAATCCTCCTGCGTCGACGAGTAATTCCTCGCTGCGGCAGGGTTTTGCTCGCAAAAGAAGCCACCCGGTAACTCATCCCAAATTCCCAAACTCAGAACAGCTCCCTCCCAAATTCAGCCAGGGAGCTGTGGTGAGAACACCACAGCGATCTCCTGGAAAACCGCCTTGATGACTCGGATATAGGTTTGGAGGTCGACCCTCTCGAGCTGAGAGTATGTGGAGAGGTCGTCATAAAAGGACTGGGTTGGGAACCGGAAGCCGTCTTCCGCTATGATCGGAAGTATAGCACAGGAGTCGACCTGGCTAACTTGCAATAACCACTGTGCCATTTCTCGTGACTTGAAGCATCCCTCAGAACACACCACGAGGGCAGTTTTCGCTGTGGATGGGAGTTCGCGACCTTGCTGCAGAACCTGAGGCATCGAATTGCTGGAAGCCCCAACAAGCTTGGGAACAATGAGCGCCAGGAGGATGTATGCCGTCGCGGCAGCCTGTGGACAGAAGGCAGCAGAGCTGCTGCAGTATGATGCTGTGGCATATAAAAAAGATGGGAGGAAGTGGGGTTGTGCCCTCTAGGGCCCAGTGCCTAATGTGCCATGCCATCCTCCTGCCTCCATGTTGTCCAAATCTGCTAGGATGAGGCAGTCAGGGCGATCCTTCTGGTCGGTTACGGACCGAGTCCGGCTGGTGTTCGTCAGGCTGCTGACGATGTGATCCACGGTGTCCATGCTTAGCAAAGACGCCACTTCCAAAGCTTCGACTGTATTGATCCAACGCAACGTCTCTTCCACCTCAGAGGCTTTTGTGCAACACAAAGTCCTCTCAAAAACCTGCGTTTATTTGTTTTTAACATGTCAAACCTCCTGGATGCCGATGTTGTAATTTGCCAGCTCAGTGATGTCCGGGACAATGCTGGTGTAATTATCAATGAACATCTTGTCGGGCTTGGCGAAGGCAGGCCACATGAGCAGTACCGTGTGCACTTTTTGCACTCTCGCAGTGACCATCTCCCCAACACACCACTTCCGGGTCAGGATGTCCTTCCGTGGGACATGTGGATGTCATGGGCGTTCCATGGGCCTTCCACCACCTTACAATACCTCGCCCTTGCTTTCGGGCAGAAAGCCCCTGAGTGAACGATCCGGCGAATTAGAGGATCAGAAACCTTACCGCACTGGCATACCCATGCATTCAACCGCCACGCACGCGAGCCGAGGCATGTTGAAAGTAGGCGAACTGGCTCATATTCGGTGCTTTTTGTGTCCCTTTGTCGGTCGAGCTCCCTTTTGCAGTTCTGTAAATTTTAATTGGCCGTCGGAAGTGGTACTTAGTTGTTCCCACGCACACGAACAGCGCAACAGACGGTGGGCACGGATGCTTGCGAACTCACCTGGAGCTTTCAAGCCTTCAAGGTTCCTCGAAACAACAGAACTTCACAAAGGCGAACAAGAATCAGTAAGCACCTACATGCACAACAGCTGGCTTCCCTAGTCTCGGACCGTTTCTTCTCGATTCTGGTGCCCCTTGTTAGTGACTTTTTTCGACAAGCCGCGAAGTCGCCGAAGCAAAGGCGCTAAGGACGACAGCCACAGCATGAAGCCCAGTCTCGTCTAAACGGCTTGAAACGTTCCATCGGCGACGTCTACCCTGCTGAGGCCTTTAAGCGATGCTATGATTCAGGACCTTGCGTCCTGAAACCCTCAAGGCACAAGTCTTGGACAACCTCTGAACGGGCCGCTCCGCATTTCTGTTGCTTTGTTCTGTTATTTCTGTTACTTTCTGTTGCCTTGTGCTGTTTTCTATTCCGTCCTGGCTTCCGAGGATGACAAAGGTCTCCGTGTCCTGGCCAACATAGCTGAAGAGCCGCGTGAGGTCGTTGAGATCATCACAATCCACGAAAGTCGTAAAGCGGGAGCCGCGCTTCTGCAGCTCCATCTTGAGCAGCCGCGCGTAGCTTCCGGCCGCGACCTTTTGGTGGCAGAGGAAGAAGCGGAAAGGCTTCCGATACTTCAGCAAGAAATGCTTCACGATGCCATAGAGGATGGCGCCCAGGATTGCGGTCACCATCAAAGAGGAGAAGAGCATGCAAATCACAACTGTGATTTCGGCATCCACCTCCCCAACAAAGAGGGAGCCCATGTCCAGGATCACCAGCATGCCCGTCATGAGGATGATGTCCAAGTAGTTGCAGGCCATGGCCCTCCAGGGCTTGCTGAAAGCCGTCACCACCAGGCTTGAATACAAGAGCAGGTTGAGGCACAGCACCTTGCCAGAGGTCGATGGAAGCAGAGGGCACAACACCACAAGGCTGTTGCGCATCAGGAAGACGACGGAGAAGACCTCTGCTCCTGGACGGAAACGAATGAAGAGAAACGAGCACGCCCGGACGAATTGCACATCCGCGTTCTCCAGGCGCTTTGGAAGCTCCCACAAAATAATCCAACTGCAAAGGGCGAGGAAGGCGATGGGTAGAAGACATGCGAAGCCCCCAATCAGAGCCATCGACAGGTGCTCATCCCTGCCGTTGCAGAAGACAGCGTGGTATGTCTGCACGGTCGACAAGCCGTTCGGATGAATGTTGCATCGGAAGGGTGCCAGGAGGGAGGAGCAGAGCGAGATGAAGAAGACCATGAAGAGAGTGCCCACTGTGCGTGCCAGCAGGTTCATCTGCAATCCTTTCGTCTTGCGCAGCGTTAAGAAGGTGGCGTGGACCACTGCTGCGACGGCGAAGAAGACCAGCACCAGCAACGTCCTAAGGGGGCGGGGTAATTAGTGGGGAAAGACCTGGAGTCCACCTCACACATCTGCACCGCTGGTAGTGAGGAGGAAGAGGAAAGATGGGGGAACCGGAAGAACGAAGGAAAGAAAAAAACAAAAACAAGGAAATGCCACCGGTCTCTCCCGCCCCCCCCCCCCCCCCCCCGGGCCTGGTGGCGAACTTCACCACGGGGCTCATGGGCGCCACGCAGCTGATGGAGATCATGTCCTCCGACTCGTGTCTCTTGAAAAATGAGCGGGTTTGGAGAGTTCGGAAACTCCAAAAACAGAGGGACAAAACATTAAAAGACATAATAAAAAAAAAAACACATCCTAAACTCGGAAGGCGCAGGCGCCATGTCGAAGGCCATGACCTCCAAAGCCACCAAGACGCTGGAGAAAGGCTCGCCCCACTCGATCTTGAATTGCTGGATCACCGTGAGCTGCCTCATTGACTCAGTTGTTGGGGGATCTGTTGTTGGGGGCTCTGTTGGGGGTTCAGAGATCATGGCTACCCCAAATCGCGAACGAAGACACCTTACTTGCGTTGGTTGAAGTCTGCAGCAGGTGATCTAGGCTCTCAAAACGCTGAGAACGGGAACCACAAAAACATCAAAACACGCCTCCCAGAAAAGCAACGACCTCAGGCTGAGGAGCTGGACGACCGTGACCATTTGACCCATCCCCAGGGCAGCAATCAAGAGACTACCTGGCTGCCTGCTCTTCTGACCCTCATTCATAAGCACGACGTAGAGCACGGCAATTGCACAGATGACGAGAATGGTGACCTCAACTGTTCACGGCTCGACGTGGTAAGGGCTAGTAAGGGCACCCACGCCTTCCTGCTCGCTACATCACTACATCATGAACGCATCAAATTCTACATACCTCGCAATCAAGGAAAAGCAGGACATCGTAGATTGAATGGGTTGCAGCCGGAGATCGCTCACCAGCAAGGCGTAGTCGCCCCCTTCGCACTCCACGCAGATGCCATCCTGCAGAAGAATCCCTTCCCCGCACCCTGAAGTTGCCTCTGGGCCTAGAGCTTCGGCAGTAAGCTGAGCTCTGACCCTTCAAAGTACTTCAAAGCCTTGGCATGGAGACCCGGCAAACAGCTGCTGCAAGCCACGCTGGCGGTGTCGCGGCCGGAGGCGCAGGTGCCGGGAACTCCACCCGGGCAACGCTCGGGATTCCCAAAGCAGCGGAAGACCTGCCCGGGCTCCTGTGCAGTGGAGAAGTAGCCTGCCAGGTGTGCCACAAAAAAAAGAGAGGGATTCCAGTCTGGGATTCTAGCGGGGAGGGGGGCAGATTGGGGGCATGCATCGATGTTGTGGATGGCGTAAGATCTTACTCAGGAAGTTTTTTGAGGCTCTCCAGTCTCCAGAGAACCGGTCCTGGAAGTAGCTCGAGCTTGCTCGAACCACTGCAGATTGATCCCTCGATGCAGTCTTGGCAGATGCCCTTGTGCAAGTACGTACCCTCCACGCAACCGCAGAAACTCTCGGAGACTGCCCCTTGCACAGGAATCCATGTTGTCTTGCCCTGGTTGAGAACAGCCTTGCTCGTCGTCCACGCATCCATCTGGGTTGTGTTTGCCCCACACTGGTAGCAGAAGGTCATGCCTGTGTTGTTGGCATATCCACCGAGGTCACACAACCTGCATTCTGCAGCGCCGGTCTGGTCCGCAAACCTCCCAAGTTCGCAGGGAATGCAGGTGGACTCACCAGGCAGATTCTGGAAGGTGCCTCCGGCAGTGATGCAACACAGGTCACTCTTAATTCATTGTGTGCTGTTGCCCTGCAGCCCCAGCAAACTGATGTCGCACCTTCTGCACACGGGAGGCACACCCTTGTGGAGCCCTGCTCCACTGAACTTCGTCCCACCGGACAGACCTGCAGGAGGCAGAAGAAGCAGATATAGAACACAAAGCCAGACTCATGTGGAACCCTGTGATCAGGCAACACGTCGACACAAGGTTTGGGAGGGTTCAGGGAATTGAGGGAGGGCCCATAAGGACGTAGCAGGCACGGAAACGAAACTTCATGACGCGAGAATCTTGGGACCAGGTCAGTGCAGGTCTCTGAAGCCGCCTGACAGCTCACTGCCTGCGCTCGGTCCAGCACCTCGGGAAAAAGCAGGCAGAGGTGTGAAGAAATGTTCCACGCTGTAAAGTTGTGAGCAGGAGGCTCTTGGGATCACCCAGAAATATCTGAAAAAAGGCACTCTGAGAGCGTTCTGGGAAAACAACACTCTGAAAGCAAAGCACTCTGGAAGCGCTCTGAAGGCACTCTGAAAGCATTCCAAAAGCATCGGGAAGCATACTGGAACTCCTTCTCAAAACACTCGAAAAGCACTCCGAAATCGACATCACTCTGAAAGCGTGCATTCTGAAGCGTTCTGCAAAACACTTTGAAAGCACTCTGACCTGAAAGAGTTCCGAAAGCACTCTGAAAGCACTCCGCAAGCATTCTGAAAGCACACTAAAAGCATTCTGAAAAGCAGTGAGAGCGTGCTGAAAGCAAGAGCATTCTGAAAAAGCTCAGAAAGCATTCTGGATCCATTCTGAATGCATTCTGTGAGCATTCTGAAAGCACCCTGAAAGCGTGCTCTGAAACAAGACCCTGAAAAAAAAACACACACACACACACACACACACACACACACACACACACACACACAAACACTCCATCTCAGGCCGCGACAAGTTCACCCAAGGAGTTGACCAATCCCTTCCCGGCAGTGCACGCCGTTTCATTTGGAAGCCAGGCCATCCACACGGCAGGATTCGCTCTCAGCCAATTGCAAGCCGTCTGCCAGACGTCGGGCGTTGCTGCCGACAGGTGCTGCACCAGGATTTGAGAAAGCTCGTCATCGGCAATGAAAAGGTTACGTGCAACCGCAACCGCTCGATCTGCGATGGCCTCAAAGCCCGATGCCTGGAACACCAGGTTGAAGTCAATTCAAAATATGTTGCATGTATTCAATTTGTAGATGTTGAAAGCCCCCTTGGGTGCGTCCCTTTAAGCCTTCGGCACCTCGCTCACTCTTCTTCTTCTTCTTCTTCTTCTTCTTCTTCTTCTTCTTCTTCTTCTTCTTCTTCTTCTTCTTCTTCTTCTTCTTCTTCTTCTTCTTCTTCTTCTTCTTCTTCTTCTTCTTCTTCTTCTTCTTCCTTCTTCTTCCTTCTTCTTCTTCTTCAGGGAGTGAGGGCAACAAAGTCCCTCGCACCCCGCGTCACTCTCTCTCTCTCTCTCCACACTCTCTCTCCGTCTCTCGCTCTCGCTCTCTCGCTCTCTCGCTCTCTCTCTCTCTCTCTCTCTCTCTCTCTCTCTCTCTCTCTCTCTCTCCACACGCTTAGCCCCCCGGAGGAAGCTGCCGAGAAGGGCGCACGTCAGATGATCCTGCTTGGCTCGCTCTCTCTTCTTCTTCTGCCCAGCGAAGAGGCCCCCCTAGAGGACCCCCGGCCACTCGCTCTCTCTCTCCCTCTCTCTCTCTCTCTCTCTCTCGCTCACACTTTCCTTGAGCCAGGTAGCTGCCCAATTGGTCAGGTCGACGTTCTCCCGCTGGGTCTTGAAGATCTGGTTTGCATACTCTGAGGGGCTGTTGGGTGGGAAGATCACCTGCGAGGGATTGTCCAAGGTAAACTTCGTGTCAGGTGTCCACCAGTACAACAAGCTTTGCAATTGCCGGTTCAAGGGGATGTAGTAGTCCACAGGCTCCTTTTGCGCCGTGGCGAAAGCCAAAGGCATGTTGTGGAAGTATGCCTGCTGGATCATCTCCTCAGTCACTGGCAGATTCATTCCGGACTTGCTTTGCAACTCATGTGACTCATGTGCCGCCGGTGCTTGCGCCTCCCCCCGAAAATTTGCCAAGAGGCAGGCCATCCCCAACCGGGGCCCCCAGAGACCACGGTGACGCAGCCCGACACGTTGTGTCGGCACGCCGGTGCTGGCCACCACTTCTGCTGCCAGCACTTCAACACCGTCTTCCCGGCCACCTCTTCCACTCCATCAGCCTCTGCGAAACATGAAGTCATGCTTCTGCGAAAACACGGAAACACACAATCGTTCTAAAGAAGCATAGGAGGCAGTCCATGTATGTCTGGGTTGCTCACGTCCCCGGTGGCGCTGAGATACACGCCACCAATGTTCGGAAAGTAGCCCTGCAGTCAAAAAGACGTCACAAGAAGAGCCTCTTCCATGCTGCAGCAACATCCGTGCCACAGCAACATCCGTGCTACAGCAACTGCCTGGCAATGCAGAACAAAGGTAAAGGCTAATGGAACAATCAGTGCAGACGATGACAGTTCCCATGCACCTGGCCTCGACGCTGTCAGCGCATGTCTGCACCAGGTTCAGGTCGACATCTGCGACCACTGAGGCATACCGACCAGGATCATACCACGAGGCGTTGTAGGACCGGAAATACTCAAGCCTCCCAGGTGTTAAGCTTTCGATCAGTCGTAATGTTCTGGTCGGTTTCCCGTTTAAGGGTTTTGTTTTCGTTGCATGCTCTTTTTTGCAAGCAGGACCTAAGACCTAAGGATGTGACTGCGAGCCGGTCACACATCAGAAGTCGGCTTGCACGTGCTAAAAGAGTGAGGGGTAGCTTCCAGAGGGGTTTCCAGTGTCTCCCAGCCAAGGAGCGCCAAACCTCGATCATTCAAAGCCTTCTGCACAGCGCCATCCAGGATGAACATCCCTTCCTTTCCTGGATAACCAATACCTTGGCATCTTTAGCGGAAGGGTTTCGGGTCAAGGCAGCAACAACCACACCAGAAAGACGATGAGCAAGATGGATGCGCAAGAGCCCGGAAAAGCTCCCCATCAAATCCATCAAACCGACCCGAGGGCACCCCACCCTCCGATAAACCAAACAAAACAACTGGGGAACGTCGATAGGAGCGAAGAAGGGAATGTAAGGAATTGAGACGGACCCATTTGGGCGCCCAAAGGTTCTGCCAAAGGGGGCGAGAGGCTACCAAGGTTCACGGGGGTGTAGTCGCCCATCTCTGCGGCCCAGGTGTCCCACCATACCCTGGACGCAGGAACTTCTTTGGGCATGGTTAGAAGGAGCTTTGGGCTTGGGATGGCCTTGGGGGGCTCTCTCTATCCGAACATGCTGAGAGAATGCCGTAAAGGGTTGATCCGACATGAGGTTCGGGGTGGCCTTCCCTTCTTGTGTCGTGGTTTTGAACGTTATGCGGCGGGCTTCAAGGGTTTCAAGGATTGAAGGCTGAGAGGTCGACAGGCTGCAATCCTTCGGGAGGCTGGAAGTTCCTGGAAGTGAGTGTTTCAAGGGCTTGGTGAGTGATCCGAGCCCCGTGCGAGCTCGCGTACCAGAATTCCAAAGAGATGTGAAAGCCTCGGCTTGGTCGACCGTGGGCTGACACGCTATTCTCCAGGTCCGAGGCCAGCGGTAGACAACACAGAAACCGCAGGTGTCGCAAACATGCGAAAAAGCTCGAGGGGCCTATATACTGTTCGAAAGAGGCGGCACGTCGTGAGGCAATAAGCACATGCCATGTACAAGTTTTAAACCCGTCAACATGTTCGTTTACGTTCTTTTGCGCCCACCAAGCCATCACATTGCAGGGTGGCTGCACGACTGTATCGTAAAGTGTGCCGTGTTTGCGCACCTGACCCTTAATTGACAGGGCTTGTTATGCTAGCCGCGCTCTGTTTCATGCAACGGTTATTTAGGCAAAACCCCGTTGCGTAATGTCAATCCATGAGGATTTTCTAAGGTCTGGAGAAAACATCTTTTGTGCATACTTCCAACCTTGTGGAGTCGAGCTGGAAACTTCCCAAAAAGTTTTTCACTATCACACTGTCTGATGAATCTGGAGTGCTTTGCTAGAACAACCACAACCTTCGAAAAGGAATCGAGTCCGAAACGAAAAGCTGGAACCTGCTCCTGGGTTACATATCACTAGCAAGGACTCGCAAATATCTTTGTTCAAGGTAGACAAACTTGTTTGATGAGTTTTTATGTGGAAGAATGCACACTTCTGGTTGAACTGAAAAGGAGACTGTCTCAGGCAAGCCCTTACTTCGCATTATATAAGGAGCGTCAAGACTTGTCTTTGGTTTTGAAATTGCGTCATCTCGCACGCTCCCAGATACCCAGGACTTCTTTGCCAAATCGAGTTCAGACTGGAGGGCACATCCCTGAGCGCGTTCCTGAAGGACCCGCTCCCCTAAAGCCACCGGACTCTTGGCCACGGAGTGAATATCATTGAGCCGCAAATCCTAGCAACCCCCATGACTCTCCGTAAGTCCCTAGACAAACTATCCACGGGTTTCTCAATTCTGGGCCAGGCCGAGAGCGTTCAACGCAGAGCGCTTGCAATGAACTTCCGAAAGTGCTCTGAGCTTACAGCCGTTACATTGTTGTCCAAGCCACGACGAGGAGGACCACAGTTCCCCAGGCTAATCATTTCGACCGGGTCGTGATCACACCCGGCAAGCTTAAAGACCTGGCAGCTCCACGGCATTCGCATCTCTGAATCGACTCTGAAGACTCCATGCGCCTGAATCTTGCTGGCGCTTCCGAAGTCCGTGAAAGTATTGTAGCCCAGACGCTCCTTCGCACAAGAAACAGCCATCGAAGCGGTTGTTCGTTGCTTGCAACTCTTGGGCTAAGGATTAGGCTCTTCGGTGAGATGTTACAGACCTGTCCTTGAGAACAATGACTCGAAACATAACAGAAAACAGGTCACTCCCCGATACGGAAGCCATAACTGAGAAACCAATCTTGGCTTGCAGAAACCATGAGATCCTGAATAGGAAGGTGCCATGAGAACACCAACGAGGGGGCCGGCTTGAGGTTTCAAACAAGTTGGACGAAGGCTGCTGCACTGGAACCGGTAGATTCGAGTTTTCGGAGCCGGTTTCTGAATCGGGGAGCGTTAGCGGCAAAAGGTACTGCTGCAGGCCGAGGCTCCTGGGCAATGATTTCGTAGATTTTGCTGACTATTAAGGAGGAGTCGAAGGCCGACACCCAGATGCCAAGAGGCATAGACTCACCGTCCACGACCACATTCTTTCTATCAGCCTCTGGGGTCCCATCAGGTAGGCACGTCGTCGCTCCAACATGCCGGGCAGTGAGAAGGAACGTCAGGTGCAGAAGGCACCACATGGAGTCCCCGCCCGGGCCGCCTAAGTTTTTGAGCCATTGTAACTTGGCGGTCTCTCGCTTCATCCTCGTGTCATGACGATGTGGAGCCGGGCAGGATCGCAACGGGCTGATGAGAGCGCGTCTCTCTCTCCTTTTCCGACGATGCATGCGACGTAGCCGAAACCTTGGGGACCCTTCGATTCTAACGGAACCTCGAGCCCTTGGACCCAACTCCAGAACCCTGTCCTTTCCAAACCAACCCTAAACCCTAAACCCTAAACCTTAAACCCTAAACCCTACGCTTCCCTAACTTTCCTAGGCCTCAGGTGAGGCCGCGGGCGCGGCCTGTGACGAGTCGAACAGAGCAGCTTGGTTGGGGGAGCCTTGAACCCGAACAGCCACTCAAACACACGGCGTAGGGCCCCTGAGAAGGGGGGGCCCAGAGGGCCCAACCAAGCATTCAAGAGAAACTCGAAAAGTTTCGGCTTTGAGGTGTGGGGGGGGGGTCCAGGGTAGGGTTTTTGCTTCTAACAGATCAGGAATTAGGATGTAGGCCGTTGAGCTGAGGCCTCAAACTCCCCCAAAGCTTTCAACTTCAAGTCATCCTAAACCCTACGAGCCGACATGACCCGAAATCTCGAAGCCCTTGGGCCTCTGCTGACACCTCATCTCCAGCAGCTTCTAGAGGCGGCCCCTTGCAAGGTCGAAACTGGACCCCCGAGGATTAGCTGCTTAGCTCTTTCCCCTCCTGGAGAAGCCAAAAGCAGACCCCAGTCTCCGCCCCCAAAAATTTCCTAAAACCCTCAACGACCCCCCAAGTGGCCTCGCCCCAGGGCGCGGGCAGCTTGGTGACTCCTGCAGCACGGACACCCACAAGATAGATCACAGCAACTGAACCGTGGGTTCAGGTGTGTGGATCTTACCCTTCCTGTATCCCACGTCGTCCCAAAACAATCCACATGCCTGGACCATATCTGTCCATGATTGTCTTTGGCTTTGGCACCTGCCGGTCGCAATTGCTTCTCAAACTTCAGGGTCCGATGCACGGGTATACGTTTTACCGAACTGCTTGCAGCACAGCCACTGCTGTCTCCAACCACTCCTCGTAGCCTTCTACCTTAATGCCGGAGGCCACAGCCGTTCCGTGCACAATCTTCATGGCTCGGGTGATGTCCTCCATGCCAAGTCTTTCTGGGCCACGACTGCACTGATGGCTCAACAGTTCTCTCTCCCAGCCTCGCAGTTCAAGTCCGGCAGCTTGGTTTTTGCAATCTCCTCCAGCTTTTCCACGGTGATGCTGCCGATGATGTCGGTGCCTAACGCCGGCTGCGGCCAGATTCAGATCAGACCCCGCAGCACACATCACGACGAGAGAGTTTGAGAGTTTGAGCTGGTGAGGCAGACTCCAACCGACAAAGCCTGCTTTTCCCGAGCCTTTCTCTTTGCCCACGGCCTGTTGCAACGAGCATGAGATGCCGAGATGTTCACATGTCGTACGTGGCAACAATAGCTTTGGAATCGTGGAAGATGATGAAATATATTCGGCACGAAGAGCAAGTCGGCTATACTCACCTATTGCAACCTGTGGCCATCAAACATGATTGAGAACTGTGTGTAGGCTTTGTCCTAAGAAACGGAAAAGCAGCCTTGTGAAGGAGCGCGGCTGTCAGCGGGGTCTTCAACTCGATTTTGAAGCTCTTGTCACTCATGACCTGCGGCACAGCCCATCCTTGAACATCGTCTGAATATTACCGAGGCAACGTGTGCACAAGTTACACGGCGCGCAGAGGGCCTAGTGTGCCCAGAGCTATGCAAAAGCTGAAACATTTGCATCAAAAAACATAAGTACCACTTGTCAAATGGCCAAGCGGCATGGACGATGCAAGGGCAGGTTTGGCCGACCTGGCAATCAACAGAGAAAAGCACGCTGCCCCTTGATCTGATCCTAAGTTCTGAAATCCCAGCGAATTCTGAGCAAGCCCTGAGGGGTTTGCCTTGTCTGCAGTCAGAGCATTGTACTCCTGCGAAAAGCTTGGAAGCAACTTTGCTCGTCGGTAGCCATATGCTGCTTCAAGGTCGTCGCCGTCTCTTGGATGCTCTGGCTCTGCCGCACAAAACGATGCGCTCCCGGCTTCAAGCACTGCAACTCTGCCGCATGCTCGGCGCATTATGAGGGCGCTTGGTCGCTCCCCCCATCACCCGACTCACCCGACTCACCCGACTCACCCGACTCACCCGACTCTCCCAACTCTTTCGACTCTGGCCCCCCTCGTGGCTCGGGTGAGCTTCACAATGTTGGTCCCGCGGTCCCACAGGCGCTTGGGCGGCCGGGGTGGTGACATCAATGGAATGCGCAGAATGAGCAGAATGTGCAGAACGAGACTCCAGAACTCATCTCGAGACGATGAATACTAGCAATGACAAGTCTCGCAGCCACACATACATCGCTACAAACAGAAACAAACAACAAACTCACGAATTTGTTCGATGGCTCCAAGAAAATCAAGAAGAAATGATGCAATGCCCCACTCCTTCACAAAAAAGGCGATGTTCAGGCCGAAGGCCCCAATGGCAGGGCCCACAGGTGGAGCTGGCGTGGCCTCGGAACAATTGCCCTGGGTGATGCAGGGGCTGCTGCAAAGATGCTGCAGTGTGGCTGCTTTTTTCCTCACCACCATCTGGAAGGGCCCAGAGTCGCAACGGGTCATATGCCATTGACGACAACTTGCAAAGAAATGACACAGCCGCTTGCTGACGATGGCCTGCCTCGCAGGCGTTTATGGTGGAAATGCATGTGATGATGTCCGAGGCAACTCTCAAACCTCCAACATCTCCGGCGAGCCGCAAGGCCCACTGCCACTGCTTCGCCCGGATGCACGCACACAGCGCCGCACTGAAAGCAGTAGTTGTTGCGAGTGATCTCATGGCCGACTCTTTAAGGAGGAGGAGGACTGGCTCCCACTTCGAAGCAGTGGCGCAGGCAGAAATCGCCGCTCCGTAGGAGACTGCCGTTGGCGAGGTAGTGGCTGCAAATAGCAGGAGGGCGCGGTGCCAGCGGCTGGCCCTCCCCAAGGCACTCGCAGCCGCATTGTAGGTGATGGCGTCGGGTAGCATCACTCTGGCTTGCAGCTCGTGCAACAGCTCTAGAGCTGACTGCGACTTCTCCGCCTTCCCGCATGCGCTGATGGCCGCATTGTATGTGCTCACGGTCGCTTCAATGGATCTGGAGGCGAGCAAGCCAAGCAGTTTTAGGGCCTGCTCCCATTCCGAAGCCTTCTCGCATGTGCTAATGGCAACGTTGAAAGCTATGACATCTGGACTCAATGGCCACATGTCTCCGGAATCGAGCTGATGCAGCATGCACCAAGCGCGCTGCCATTCTCTTGCCTGCTCGCAGGCACTCATCGAGGCGCTGATGGCAAGAAGCGATGCAAGCAAAGACCTTTGCATCTGCGACTCCAAGAGGAAGAAAGCCACTCGCCAGCGAGCGGTCCGTTGACAAACAGCAGCGCAGGCGTTGAAGGTCACTGCATTGACCTTGAGACCCTTGTATCCAGTCACCCACATCAGTGACACTGCCCGGCACCAACCATTGCCCTCAGAAGCAATCAAAGAGCTGATCGCAGTGTTGTGCGCAGTGATCGTTGCGTCAGTCGTAGACATGTTGAACTGGTTAAGAATGAGAAGGGCTTGCTTCCACTGGCCAATGTACTCACAGGCATTGATTGCAACGTATGTGGCCTCATCCTGCCTCAACCTGCAGACATCCATGTTGGTGAACAGGGCAAGCGCGGCCCTCCACTGGACAGTCCCCTCGCAAGCACCGATGGCCGAGTTAACAATGATAGCATTCGGGACGAGTGCGAACACCGCCGCTTCCCGGACGAGCTCGAATGCGAGCCTCCACTGGGAGTGCTTGGCACCTGTGCTGATGGCGGCCCCGAAGGATCTGATACTCGAGGCATGCAGGAATGAAAGGACAGCCTGCCAGGTATGCCCTTCACGACCCATGGCAGCGAAACTTGTGAACTTCGGCCCTTGAAGCCCTTGAAGCCCTTGATGCGCGATGCTGGCCTGCCAACCCCCGAGCTCACACGCGCGGATTGCCAGCTTGTAGCTGACTTCATTTCGGCGCAAGCTGTAGTTGTCAAACTCACGGAATGATGAGAGTGCTTGCTGCCAGAGACGAGTCTGTAGCAGCACAGTTTGGCAGGTCACGAGTGTTGTGACATCAAGCTTCATGCGAATTGCTGACATTGACTGTGACACATGTAATGCCTCTTGCCACTTGTCAGCTTTGGCGCAAGCACCACTGGTCACATTGACTGTTATGGTCGTTATGGTATCGCGGCAGCTGCGACTCTGCATGGCCAACTTCTGAAAGGCGCACTGCCACTTCAAAGCACTGGCGACAGCATTCGACGTGGCCTCCGTGGGATCCAGGCCACCACATCTGAAAAGCATCTCCAACACTAAGGCCCTCTCCCACTGCCTCACCGAAGCAGTCATAAACGCGCTCACGGCACTGCATAAAGACACCGATGCTGGTCGGGGTCCAAACATTGCCATGTCCCGCAACACCGACAAGGCTTGCTTCCAGTTTGCAGCATTCTGACAGGAGCAGATTGCAGCGTTACAGGCCACCGAATCGGCTTGCAAGGCTTCTCGAAGAATCTGCAGCAGGACGAAGGCCCCTCTCCACCTCGCCGCCTCAGCACAGGCGCTGATTCCCAAGCTGCAGCTCTGCGCATCTGCTCGAAGCCCAACAGCTTCCAAGCGAGTGATGCTTCTCACCACGGCCTGCCATTGCCCGCTTTCGAGATTTGCGGCGCGTTTGGACTTGGAGTGCACTTTTAGGAGGGCGCTGGTTGCCGCGCTGAGTGCGATGGTGTCGGCCTTCAGGCTCTGCTGACTTATTTGAGCGAAGAGCTCAACAGAGACTTCCCACTTGCTGCAGGCCTTGCACGCTTGGATGGACGAGGTGAACGTCACGATGTTATGCTGCAAGCACGCCACCGCAGAGTGCAGCAGGAGCACAGCATGTTGCCAACTTTGCTGGCAGGCACCGATCGACTTCGTGTATGCGCTGCATGTGCACGAGGCCAAGCGGCTGAGGCGCAGCCCCGCGAGGAACCGTAGAGCACCATCCCAGCCAGAGCCGAAGCCGGCCACACATGGCATGGAGCCCGTGGATCCCCTAGGGCCCACGCAGCGCTGGAGGGCATGGCATGGAGCACCATCTTGGCAGAGCTCGGAACTCTGCCCGCTCTGCCGGCTCTGCCGGCTCCGGCCATGAAACGGGTAGAAAGTTGGCACCCGTCACCTGAAGCACCAGAAAAAGAAAACAACCCAGGCCTTGCAACTCTGCACACCTCTGAGCCAGCACAAAGGCGATAATGAAAGCAGCATCTGGACACGCACATCGCAAACTTTGATACAGGTGCCAAAGGAGCAGACCTTTCCGCCAACGATCTTTGACAGCTTTACCTGCAAAGACTACACGATGGAACCCTCTCTCCTCTGAGAGTTGCTTGCATAATCTCGCATATGCGTCATTCGAGCATGCTCGGACCATTCGGCCTGCGCCACCTCGGTCACAGCACAGACGGAGGAGAGGCTCCTGTCCTGCTTCCGTCGGAATGCCACCTCTGGGTCGGCGGAATCGCGGAGAAGCGGTGTCGTGAGAGACAGAGAGAGAGAAAAAAAAAAAAAAACAGACGGACAGGCAAAACATGAAAAAGATAGAGAAAGAGAAAAGAAGAATGAAAAGAACTGATAAACAACAACAAAAAACGGTTATGACCCGACTCGGCTCCCGGCTCCCAGCGCCAGGGCGGCGCCTCCGAGGAGCACCCCGAAGCCTCCCGTCGGAGGACAAAAGAGAATGCGCGGCTGAGCGCGGCTGAGCGCGGCTGAGCGCGGAGGGCGGCAAGGGCCCTTACACCGCGATGCGCTGTAGAATGGCTTGTCTCTACCTCTGCTTCTTCTGATTTCCTCTTCACTCCTTTCTCCTCTTTCGATTCATCTTCCTCCTCGACTCTTCCACGCCAGCCTTCACCAGCTCCCCGCTCGCGGCTTTCGTTCCGGAGGCTCGGCGCGCGACCTGCGCACAGGGCACAAAGGCCGGCAAAAGGCTCGGAATGGAGCAAATCCTCACGAAGGAGCCACGGGGACTTGGCCTCTGAGGGCCGGCGCGGCCGGAGCGGCAGGGGTCAGGAATGCTAGCCTCGGTGCTCCAGCAAGCTCCAGCAACTGTGGCCCGCGGCGACACATATGCGAGACTATGTACTCACATTCACGCCGCACGCACGCACGCACGCACGCACGCACGCACGCACGCGGGCCACGCGGGTACACACACACACACACACACATGCGCCAACGAGCGCCCACGAGCGCCGGACTGCCCAAAGGCACAGCATAAGGCTGTTGCCTTTCAAGAGATCGCAAGTGGAAAGCATGTGGGAAGAGAAAGGGAGCAGCAAAGCTAAGCCGGCGGCAGCCGCGACTACGGCTATCCACGACATTGCCGGGGGCTAGGCACTCACTTTGAGCCGTCGCCCTTCAACCGGTCCAGGGCTGAGGTTGAGGCATCAGGTATGGTCTACAGGCTTCTTAAATGCTTCCAAATTCTCCAAAGGCTGTGCGAGCCGTTCAAGGCACTTGACTGACTTAGCACAATTAGCAATGGCGACAGGTTCACGCGCTCTTTTCCAGCCTTAGGCCGCCCACTTGCTCAAAGCCTTCATGTTCACTTCTAAGCCGTCACAGAAGCTTGTGGGCAGTGCGGCAGTGCTCCTTGGGGTTTCGACTGTCAAAGAAACTGCTGTGAAGGAAGCGACAAAGAACAGCAGGCCTCGACTTCGTCAATCACTGGTTCTTCTTCTTCTTCTTGGCCACTTCGGCTGCGTGGGCCTCCCTCTGCTCGTGGTGGTACTCGACGAGGCGCTGGGCGTAGGCAGCCTTGGCCTCCTTTCCGGCTTCCATGCGCTTGCGGGTAAGGGCCTGAGCGAGTTCACCATCTGCAAAGGCGCCACTGAAGCTCCGAAGCTCCACCCCGCCTTGAAGTAGCGCTTCCTCTGCAGAAGCTGGGGCGTGATGAGGCGCTGAATTTTCGGGGCCTCAAGCGACAAGCCGACACAAGCAAAGAGCGACACAAAGTAAGACGAGAAACAACAGGGGACCGTCGCAGAATATCACTGAATAACGGAGTGCACGGCCCGCCTTGGTCTTCTTGCCCTCCTTGATCTCGCGGCGGACCACGAACTGCCTCACGTCATCCTGGAGGGATGCGATGGGTCTCTGCGGCTCAACTCCAGCTCAAGAAATTATATGCTTTCGGGCTCTCGGTCCTTCTTCTCCAGGCCAAATAGCTTGCGGATGTTGGAAACCCTCTTCGGGCCGAGACGACGAGGCTTCTGGTCATCAGTGAGGCCTGCACCCGAACAGGCTTGTCGCGCAGCTTTTAGAACTCCCCTCATGGCTGGCATAGGCCTGGAATGTCATCAGCACCCTTCTTCACCAACACAAGGTGCAACACTGCCAGGTCAGGGCCGACGATGCAGCCTGCACTGGAAACTCCGGAAGATTGACCCCTCAGTCTACCTGTTGGGTTTATTGGCCCCTTCATGTCGAAGCAGTTCAGGAGAAATCCGCCAAACAAGCATCCCCTGAAAGGGACACCTAGAATCTCCAGCTACACTGCGCCTCGCACGGACTTGCGCTTGCGGCAGCCGGAACGGCGCTCCCGGTAGCAGGACATTCCCTTCTTGAACAAAAGCCGCACGCGTTGGTTGGACATCACACCTCAACAAGACAGAACAGACTCAAGAAGATGTGGATTGTGGAGTTCTGGGTCGAAAGTGATGCGGCGGTGCTTGCTACGGATAGCCCGCCCTCCCCATCTGTGAAACGTTAGCCGGCAGCCCACCTTGCTTCATTGGGAAGCCTTGCTTGTCGTTGCCACCACCGATGCGGAAGACGTATCCTCAGGATCAGGCCATGAGTTTAAATAGGTGGCCATGGGACGAAAGCAGTACGGCACGCATCTGAGTCTTTCAAAGCATGCAAGCGGCCCTTGAACTCATCTCCCAGGGAGTCCCCCGACACCTCACTCGCCATGCGCTTGTCGAAGAGAGGGTACCTGGAGGCGGCAGCTCATTCAGCGAGCATATGCCAGCAGCAAACGGATCCAGAATGGCAAGAACCTGAAGAACCTGTGTCAAGAGCAAGGCACAGCTTCTTATCGTCATCAATCTCCACCAACTTCTGCATGCCCGTCGTCGGGTTTGAGATGTTGAGCTTCATGGCGACAGCTAAGAAAGAAACGGCTGGAGAGGGAGCAGGTCTTGGCTATCCGGCCTGTGGCTACAGCCGCTGTGCGCGACTTGAGACAAGCAGGGGTGCCGGCATCGAGTTTACCTTGCCTTCCCGTGCCATGCCAACAAAACCAGTAAAGAATTAGAACACGAGCCAACAACTTCCAGTCTGGTCCAGCTTCCATCTTCCTGCCTGCATCTGCCTGCTGGGCTCTTGCGAGCTGCTCAGCGTTCTCTGATAAAGGCAGGTTCATGGCACGGTTGCCAGGGCAACGTTGAAGAGCCTGTTTATTTGTGCTCTGCAAGGGTATATAAGAGTTTGTATCACAAGCTCCGTAAAAATATCATGGCAGGAGTTGCAAGTTCACAAAACTGTCAGACCCAGGTCAGGGCCTGGAGCTTCTGAGGGGGTGTGGACTGATCAGGTTTGCTTGTTGGGGAAAGAGAGGTGCTGTATGTGACACAGTGCTACGGAAAGGTTTTCCTGAAGAAGCTGTTGAGACAAATCCCTTCTTCTGCAAGGGCGCTGTAGGGACCCCAAAGGCCCTTGCAAGCACTTGCAAGTATAGTTAAAGTGAAGCCATCGGCCCAATGACCACACTGATTTCGACCTGGTGCGACTGCAATAGCAATGCCCTTGGGAGCCTCCGATGCCAGGAAGCGGCAGCTTTGCTTTTCAGTGGTAAGTGATAACGTCTTCTTGTGCGCGAAAGCCAATCAAGGCAACTGCTTGAAATCAATGAAAACCGGGGTTGTCCACTTGAAACGAATGCGTTGCAAAGGAACACGCAAATTTTGCCTCATCAGCACGACCAGGAGGGGGAACCATCCTGGTATTATGGTTGAACAAGGTAATCGTCCCTTTGCCTCCCTGATGCCCCTCGCCCTTTCATCTTGTGGAGATGTCAGCTTCCGGAAGGTGTTGGGGCCACCGCTCCCTGACCCTCTCAAAAGTCAAAACCCCGGAGTCCGGCTTCGGCCTGACTGCAGTTGCACAAAAAGTATGATCTGCACCTGCTTCCAAGAAACTATTTGGCCCCTTCATGCTCGGAGGCATTAACAACTTGTGGGGCACCTCCGCGTTTGTTTCTTCAAGGCCTATACCAAGCTCCTGAAGGACAGCGTCCACGTCTCTTCCCATCTATGGCTTGTGCAGGACCTTCTCTTGGTTTTTACCCCGAAGCATCGGCGATCGCAGCTGGATCCAGCAATGCCTGGGCTTCTCGATTCGGTGTGGGCTGTCAGCAGTGGAGTCAAAGGGTTGGGCACAGGTGCAATTGCGCAATCGCGAAATGCTACATGCACGGAGCCGTGGGATCCCATTTCCCGCCTGCAGAGGCCTCCCTCTGCGCGACAGCAGCTCCTTGTCAAATTGCAAAAGAGAAAACTTCTCGAAACGCACTCCTAGCACCCTTCAGGGCCTACGGGCCACATTCCCGACCCCCCTGAAAACTAACACCCTAAAACGGAGAAAATCAAGGCCCAAGGCCCATCCAAAATCCGGCCACGCTCTATTGCGCCTGGTCCCTTACAAACGCTCCATTGCCCGTCCGGACATGCAGACCACGCCCCAAGCCTCGCTCCCAACCGGCATCCTCCGCTAATCCGGATAAAGGTTGCGGAAAGAACGAAAGCAGCTCGACGCGCATGCACCGCCTCCTTCCCCTTCTGCCCCGGATCCCAGCTTGGTGCACGGAATGTGGGGAGAAGGAGCTCTGGCGAGAAACTTGCACTCGGCAAATGCACAAAACAAGGTGTGCCAGTATGCCCACAAATGTCCCGTGCCAGACCCAAAACGGCAAAGCCTGTGGACCAGCATAAAAACCAAGCTTTGACGGTCCCCGTCCCCCTTCTCCGTTTCTTCTTCGGGCTCGGAGTCGGCCCAAGGTGACCGCCTCGCCTTCTCGTTCGCGGTCCCCATGGGGCCGCTATGGTGCAAGGGGGACCCGCGCCATCTCTGTTTTCGGCCAAGCTTCACTTAGCAACACAACGAGCGCGGCACTGCTGACGCTTCAGGGGTCCTCCCTCTCTCGTCATGTAGCGGACATTGTGAGCAAGCCAGTCAGACTCTGCTTCTCCGACCCGCGGGCGCTTTCCGTATCTGCAACCCAACCGTGCAGACTAAAACTCCGAAATGCAACGCTTGGACCGCCGAAACGCAAGTCCTGCGTCTTGGGCTGGCAGGCGCGGCGCGCAAAACACTGTCAACTGTCAACCATGTCCGACCTCCATTCTGCGGCTGATTTCATCGCTGGTTTGCAGGAGCTTGCTTCTTGCCTGCAAGGTCCACCGAGAGCCCATGATCCATGATTTCATGCTGGTGGAGAACCCTCCCCACCTCATCACTGAGATGAGCCTGGGAGAGTGCAAGCCACTTGACAATGAGAGCTAACGACAGCCCGTGGGGTGGCCCACCTGAGATTGGAGAGGCGTAGCACCATCTGCGCCACTGCGGCTGGGACCTCGGGCGTCAGGCACATGGTGGACATCCGTCTGGCCTTGAAGCAATCTCAGCGACAGCTGCCAACACCAGGTCAGCGTGGGTGTCAGGCAATTTTTTTCCCTCCACAACGCTCTACGTTTGTGAAGGCAGTTGCAGTGCCCTGCACGAATGAACCTGAGACGGCCTGCGTCGCGGGTGTTCGAAGATTCTCGGTTGCCGCGTTGGCCTCGCCCTCTCCACCACACACACCACTGAAGCAAAAGCTGTGCCAACAGAGGGTCTTGGCAAAGTTCGCAAGCCTGCCCTATCCCCCTCCTCCTCGAGCCAGGTCTCATGACGCCTCTGCGGATCGAGCTCGCGGCCCCTCGCCACTGAAACGGCATCCAAGCATTGCTTCTGGTGCCATCCTTGCCATCCTTGCTCTCCCTATCCTCCTTGTGCCCTTCTCACGCTTCTCACGGCTTCTCGCGCCATCTCGCGCGTCTCGCGCTTCTCACGGCTCATTCAAAAGCTGGATCAGCGCATCTGCTGCAGAGGAGTCAAGGCCCCTTGACGTGTCTGTGCGGACAAAATGCTGCCGAAACAAGCACCTCATCATGCTGTCTGATCCAGGCGAGCTGGAAGGAGCCAAGTCCTGTTTGTCACTGGAAGAAGCAAGAAGACACGGGAACTGGGGAGATTGGGGAGCCCACAAGGAAACACTGCAGTCAAGCATCCTCATCGTCTACAACGGCCCATGAATCCACTCCAGATGTAGTCACGAAGGCCAGGATCTGTGAATTCGAAGAAGGAATGAGGGAGGGAGTAGCATGCATGAGAAACAATGGCAAACTAGGCACTTCAGCTTCCACTTAAGGGTCGAGTGCGCAAATTGCAGGGTGCTAAAAAGTCCACGCTCAAACAAACACGAGCATTGTGACTAATCTTGATTTGGATGCCCATTATGCCGTTAACACGGAACTTTATACGCAATGCGACAGCCTGGCGACAGCAAGCAATACACGACGAGTGCTGAGGGCCTGGTCGACCCGAGCATCATTTCCTTCTCCGCCTGCCACCGTGGTCCACTCTCGAAAGGAAAGCCCATACTTCGCCAAGTTCTCATTCAGCAGGTCCCGCGTCTTCTCGAACCTTATGAACCCAGGCAGCAACTTTGGATACACACCAAAGCAAGCGCACGCACAACCCGGCAGCAGGCGAAGGCCGCCGCATGCATGTGTGCTTGTTGTTAGCGTCATGGATTCGAGCGTGCGATGGTGTTTGCGCATGTGGAGAGCAGGTTTGCAAGCATAGCTTGCGCGCAAGCGCATTGTGCGTGAGCAGCAGCACAGGACACAAGGTGGCACAACGAACAGACAGGCGACTGGGTTTTGGAATCCAAAAATGTCCCGATGTCTGAAAACCTCTTCCCTGATCCGAATATGTTGATAGAATTTCCGACTCGAGCCTCCACACCTCCCAACCTCTCAACCTGCCCCCACCCGCAACCCTGCTGAGTTCATAAACCCCATGCATATCCATGTCTTTTCAACTCACTCCTCCCCCAAGGCGTGCAATAGCTGCTACCAGCACTGCTAGCAGCTGTCGCCACAAGCTTAAGACGAGCTGCTTGCGCCAAGACGAGCTGAGGATGATCTGTGCTCCGGTTGCCAACACAACTCGACGAAGCTCCTGCATGCAGGTCCTCTGAAAGCAGTGAGACATGTCCACCTTCTGCGTCTGCTCCAGCACCCGGACCTGCCGGGCTTTGATTGTGAATGTTGCAGCGAGTCTTTGTGTGGTGTAGGTGATGACCGGGTATGACCGGGTTTCGTGGGCTCGGGCCTGCCTGCAGCGGATGTAGCACGCCGTCCACGTCTAAGAAAAGCAGGCGGCGCTGCTCCGTTGGCCCAGGTGGCTCAAGTGGCCCCGGTAACCGCGGCTGGTCTTCCCGACCCCCCAGGTCCCGCTGTGGTGCGCCAGAGATGTCTGGTTCTGGTGGCCATGCCATCTGCCCCATGTGCCCATGGCATCCTGCAACCTCGCCACTCTCGCATGGCATCCGAAGCACCACCAGCTTGTTCTGGACTGTGGGCAAGCCACAGCCGATCAGATAGTCCATCGTCCAACCAAGTCTTGACTGCATTTCTTAGGAACGCTTGGGCCATCTTGGACCATTGGGCACGAACTTTCCTCGTCTTGAGTCAAACTAGAGACTCCACGTTTCCACGGATTACCACGGCATTCCCCCCCTGAGACTGAGTGACCCACGGTCTGCCATCGGGCTCTGGCCTATCGGTTCGCGGTGCAGACCAGCTGCATGATCCTCGGTTGAGCAGAACGTTCCACACTGCAGCAAGCAAGGATGCAGGTGAGACATGTGAAACAGTTCTCACACATCTCTCTGGGATCCGAGCCCCAGAAGCACCTGGACCCCAAACATTCCACAAGCTGAGAGATGCAACGAGGTTCAGCGTCGGAGGTTGGGGCCGAGTCTGCGCATTAGAGGTGACTTTTGGTGCGCCTCTGGCGATCTCCGGCGTTGGCGTCGCAAGCTTGGGCGCTCCTTGCTTGAGCGCACAGCCACAGGGTGACTGACGGTGGTAGTCCGAAACAGGTCTTGTTCTCTGGGTCAGATGTTCATGTCATCCTGCTGCGTCATGCCTGCAAGGGTCAAATCAGAACTCCCCGCCAAACATGGCACACGCCCGAAGAGTTGTATTCCGAAGCGTGTTTATTGGGAGCGAAGCCTTGGGAAGTAGACAAAGAGTTTGGGCTGTTTACCGAAGGGTTTGCTAAGGCCTATAAGGCTTACAGGGAAGTTCGCGCTTTCACAACTGCTCTCGCAACTTTTGCAACCGCCCCCTACTTCTCCTGAAGGAGTTCCAGGCAGCGCCGCTGTCCTCTTCAAGCATGGCACAACGGCATATGACTCAACGTCGTGGGCCTCAACTCGATTGCGAATCGCTTTGCTGACCCTCGTTGGCATCCCAGATGAGCTTGATGCTTAGATATGCTTGGCAATTAGGAACGGTGATTCTACAGGTCGCCGCACCATGATTGTCCTCTGCGCTTCCTGTTTGCCGCCAGCCGTGTCTAGACCTGGCATCATCTAACTTGAAAAATAAACTGGACGCCCAAGCCCGAAACACATCTAAACTTGTAAACCCTGCAACCCCATGCTTTATGCCCTCTGCCTGACCAAAAAAAATGCCTAAAGCATCCCAAACCCTATTGGGCCTTCGGCTGGCGTCGCCTGGTTGGGCTTCTGCCAGTCCTGCGATTCACGCGCTCCATGCCCTCCATGCGCTAGGTTTCTTCTCAGAGCCCCAAAGCAGTTTGCTGCAAAACTCCAATAGGTTGCCAATATCATCCAATACCTTTATCCGCAGGGCACCGAACACCGGCCAAGCCTGAGGCATCCAAGTGTTCGTATAGCGACGCAACGCCTGCCGAGCAGGCTGCGCCCGCGAAACACGATTGACATCGATTGACCAGCTTCAGCATTCCAGAAGAGAAAGAGTCTGCGCACTGCAACATCCAACGATGCCTCTGCTGCAGCGCTGTTCTCTTCCTTGAGTGCACGGGCCTTTGCCTGCACTTGTCAGGTCACACTATCCTTTGCGCCGCAAGGCAGCACAGGAAGAGGCCTCCGTTTCTGCTCTTCCTTTGAGAAGCCTGAGTCTTCAAAGCACGGTCCCCACAGCTGGGCACTTGTTCAGACATGGCCCCTTCTCAGGGAAGCGAATCTCTAGGCCGCAAGCTCATCAATCTCTCGGCGTGCCTTCATGACGGCACGCTTTAAAGCCAAGTTTTCACCTCGACGGGCATCCGGCAATGCAAAGGAAACCTGCTTTAAGTCGATTCTTTCTTGCGCACCTTGCAGATGCGCAGTCACCAAGCGGCCGTCCGCCAGCAGCCATGGATGCCTCGGGCAAAGGCAAGCTCCGAAACTCACATAAACTCACTATCTACCGTACGCAACGGACTAGGCATCAAGCTTGTCCACGTCCGCTGACGTCTGCACAGCATTTCACTCGGACTCTTCTCAAACGAAGCGTTTCCTTGTGTGCCTCTGGTCCAGAAGTCTCTGGCCTCAGCTCACACCACACATACACGGCAAAACGGGCCTTAAGATGGCTTAAAGTACCAGAGCGAATCTGCAGAATCCAACTTCGTCAAGCGAGCCACGCTGCCGGAGGAGTCGAATTGCGCGGTGTAGGGCTGGCCTCAGATTGGCATGGCACATTGTCGCACCATGCTCGCTGGCGGATGGGCGGCTGATGGCGCCCAGCTGGGCTTTGTGCTCTTTGACAATACATTCAGGAATCCGTTCACGCTCATCCACCACCCCCACCCCCCCCCCGCCACAAACCCGAAGAAGGAATGAAAGAACTGAAAGAAATTGAAAGAACGCCCCAAAGAACGGTGAACACGCTTTGACCGGTCTTGGAAACACAGTTCTCGGGTACCGCTGGGGCGTGTGACTTGACTTTAGGATGCCCCTGTGACACGAAAGAAGTTGTACAGATTTGTGACGTCACAGCACCAACTCTCCTTTGCGATTGCGTTTTTGCCGCCATGTGGCCATTCTCGTTCTACTTCGTGAAGAGCAACGTGCCTGAGGCAGTGCAGACACCCCGCAACCCGCAACCTTTGACTTCAAAAATGCTGAGGCCACCAGGACATTGAGGCCGTTCTCCGCCAGCTGTTGCTTCTCCCCTTGGAGACGACAATTGACATGGCGAAAGGGTAGAAAGATGCATAACAAATGGGTTTCGTCAGCATGTCTCAGCTGTGTGGCAGTGCACACATGATACACCAGGCGCCGAGGAATCGGCGCTCCAGTTCGTCCAATCTTTTGCTTACCTGTCATGAAAAGTGGCAAAGACGGAAATCCGAGTGGAGCAAAAAAACCTCATGTCATCGCAGGGCCTTCAGTAGCTCACCCTGCATAGCTCCACCGGCATCAGCAGCAGCTTGGACGGCCGCTGACACTGCCGATGAAGAGCCTGGGATGTGCCGATTGTCGACTTGAAATGAGCCTACCGAGTCCCACCTAAAATACTCAAACTCCCGAGGCACCAGCTGCCCTGTCCAAGCAGTGAGGCGACCTTTGCCCCAAAAAAGACAAGCAAATTCAAACAAAAAGTAGAAAGAAAACTCAGCATCCCACGGCTTTGGCCAGTGCTGCTTGGGCGTTGGGAGGCACCTCTCTCAGAGCGGAGCGCGCTCAGGCTGAGCAACCCCCACCCCAAAATGTCAGATGGTCAACAACGACACCCCGCAAAGAGGGCTCTCCGTGAGGGTCTGTGGCCCACTGAACCATAGGCCTGTTGTGAGTGTCCTGAGTGTCGTGAGTGTCGTGAGTGGGGCCTGGCGAGCTTCCTCGGCGCGGCGGCGGCCACGGATCGGGATGGGCCTCTGGGCAGTCGGGGTCTGTAGCAACTGTGTATCAGCAAGTGGCACATGAGCAGACTCAGGGCGCCAGCTCCGCGTTGACCACGGCACGTGCCTTGGCGACCTCAGTCCAAAGTGAATCAGGGCAGAGCAATGATCTTCCTTCTCTGGTGCTTTGTCGCTGCTGCCTCCGTGGCATCTATTGATGCAATACTGCTTCGCCAAAGCTCGGTAGCATTTCGTGCAAGTTCAGTCGGCTTCCCCCGCTTGGTTCTGCTGCAAGTACACACTGGGCCGCAAGCCCCAAACCCTAAAGCAACGCAAACGAGAGGAAAAGGGGGTCTGATGAAGGTGATGCTTTTGGGTTCCGAAGCCCTGGCCGGTCGAGCAGAGCGCTGCCTGCCAGGAAGACGTTTCACTTGCCCGAAAGAGAAAGAAAGTGAGAGAGTGACAGAGAAAGAGAGAGAGGAGGGGAGAGAGAGAGAGAGAGGGAGAAAACTAAAACAATACAGAAAAGATCAAGCTCATGATGCTTCATGCATAGCCTGGCTCCAGCCGCTGACGAGCTGGATGACAGAGCCCCTGTCGACCTTGCTATCTCGGGAAAATAGACTTACTTCGTGATTGTTCTGCCCAAGTTGTGGAGTCCTACTGAATATGGCACGACTTCCAATCAGCTGCTGATGGGGCCCTCAAGGATACAAAAAGGATGTAAATGACAAAGGCAAGGACGACGACTTTTGAAGCTGCCCAGCGGAAACAACCTCAGTTCGCGAACGCGGCCGCCACAGTTGAAGAGAACATGCACATTCCGCCAAGTGACTCCGTTTGGCCGGCCGCCGGTGCTTCCTTAAACCGCAAGGCTTGATGCTGTCTGCGTTGTTATTCGGTTTGTCGGGATTTCTATCCTTGACAACAGATACGACTTCAGGAAGGGTGACTCATGCACCGGGCCCAATCACCAACAAACGAGGCAGAAAAAAAACACCGCAAAACTCGGAAAGGAAGAAGTGTCTCGCTATGTGTCGCACGCAAACAAGTAGCAGCAGGTAGCAAAGAGGTAGCTGGATTGCAGGAAATGCTCTCTCAAATGTGCACCATCCTTGAACATGCCGAGTAAAAATGCAAGCGGTCCATTTCAACAACCACTAGCAATTCAAGCAAGCCATGCCAGCATGATGATTCCTGTATCTGCCGAGTTTTCTCATGTGACTTGCTCAGCTGAGCCACTTTGGTGAAATGCATCACAAGTGCCATGGCTGCCACCTCTTCCAAATCGCGCACACAGCAAACAGCAAGCATGCTACCACAAGTTTGGGCAGACACTAAATGACGGAAATTCGGCGGCTAGTGAATGCTGAAAGGCATGCTGTCCCTCAAGTTGTCGGGCCTCGTGTCGGGCCTCGTGCCGTGCGCTCTCGGCTTGTGGGACGAGATGTTTCTGACGCATTTGAGGCTGCACCTGTGCTGTAGACATAGGCACGGCTGGTCTTCATTCAGACGTCTCATCGCTTGCCTAGTCCACGATCTCGGCTCGTGTTGCGACTGCTTCGGAGGCCTATCGGCAGACATGAGAGCCAACCCCAACAGCTCGCCCAAGCACTTTGAAGCACCGTGAATCACCGTGCATGGCCTGTGTGAGCAGAACCGCGGCTGGCCTCACACAACTACTCACGAAAGTCAAAACTACTGTAAAAGCATGAGACATTGAAAAACACTGAAGGCCCGGCAGTTTCCACTTTGGGT